TATAGGCGCTATAACATTACGGTAAGGCCAATACAAGTGGAGCACCAATAAAGAATGTTTCAAAATGGGGGTTTAAATAGCTCCTTAATATTCTATAATTCAAAAATATTTTCACTTTCCAGGAAAATGAAGTGGAGGCAAAATTTAGCGTTATGTCAAAATAACTACCTCACGCGAGCGGAGTCGCGGGCAAAAGCTAGTATTTAAATAATTGGCTATAGATACAGAAAGTCAAAATATATTAGGCCTTTTTAATGTTGTTGGTTCATGGTTGTGATAGTTATGGACACCGGTGACGCGCTAAATGCACCGCCGAGTAGCAGTCTATCGCTTAGAAGTATTCACAAATCGCGTTACAAGAAGACTGTAATAGTCAACGCACAGGAAACATCAAGGAACTAATTTCATCCCATAAGTCAGATATTATTATTATTATTATTATTAATGCTTTATTTCAGTTATTTTTTTTTTTAAAACCATAACATTTTGTTAGTAATAATTACTTATAATCTATGTTAGTAACTTAAAAATCTAACACATAACTATCATTATATTATACATTTTATACCATTATATATTATTATTTTTCTCCTTCCAAGTGCCTACTGCAAAGGCTATTGATCAGCAGTCCCTCGATCTTGCTCGATATGATTCTCAAAAGACTGTTGCCACTGTCACGAACTCGACGCAATAACGATGCACTTCTCTTCCGCATTATTGCAAAGAAGTCATCGGTGTGAGATGTCGCAAACATTGTGGATGCACTACAAAAGCGCGGCAGTGACAACATCATCCTAAACGCATTATTATATTGAACGCGTAGGGCATTGTAAGCTCTCCGCGTGTATGTGGTCCACAGACTACTGGCGTAAAAATTCTGGCAATAAGCTTTAAAAATTGTAAGTTTGACATAGCTATCGCAACCAGTAAATCTGCGGGCCAGCATATTGCATCTTACTATCAACGCCCTACGCTCCCTATCTATATCACAATCATCCGTACCATCCTCTGTTACCCAGTGACCGAGGTACTTGAAGCGCTTGACTTGTGTAAGCGTTGCGCCCGCTAGCCAGATTGGAGGTACGTTCTCGTAAGTTTTGTTCTGCGCTTTGAACACTAGCAGTTCACTCTTCTTGTGAATCTTAACAGAGACATAAATTCAGCAGTGGACATATGTGGATTCATAATGAACTGTCATTCCCTTGAATAGCTTCTGATAAACTAAAGTAACAACTAATACTGACCTTAGGTACAACTTTGATTGGTACCATTGTACTTTTAGCTGTTACTACTTGTAGCACTGGATTGATTGAAGGTTTAACCTCAGTTGTTGGTGTACGGATATTATCTGAAATTAAATTACTAATATTGATTTTTAATTTTTTTTAAATGAATCAATGTTATTTATGTCCCAACTAGAAATTACAGTGAGAGTCTTATCAAGAGATGATCATTTTTGTTTTACTGCATAGTTTTCCAGCTTATCAAAACTGTTGTTAGAGGATTCTAAAATTTATCACAGAACAGAAAAACTTAAGCAACCTGATATATATCTTAACTTTAGTAAAAAAACACAGTAGCAAAGCAGCAGTAGTAAAACGCACAACCATATTATTATATATTATTTTTAATATTAAAAAAGATACTGATATTTAATATTAAAAATAATATATATGTCAATTTAAGTCAATACCTGTAGGACTAATTTGTAAATCAAAACTAACCATTATCAAAATCTAACAAGTCTTAGTCATACCAAAAACTCTCATACACTTACTTCAAAATGTTACAAACACAAAAATAAAATATACTACAATCAAACAATAAGCGTCATTTCTCGAAGGTCCTGGCCACTACAGCACATGCATGAAAATGTAATGCACAGTTTTGTTTAAAATATGATACTTGAGTACATATACATTACCAAAAATACTATACAAATATTTTAACAATTTCGATATATTTATTTACACCTCAACCGATTGTACTTACAGTTGTAATAAAAATCATACAAGTTCATCGATTACAACACAAGACCGAGGTCTACGACTAGGGTCTAAGACTAGGGATATTAAATAAATAAGTGTATCATACAGAATGCGAAGCTGCTTAGATTTTTTGAATACAAACCTTTATTCGGCATTGTTGACATTGGAGGCGTTTTAAAGGCAATAATTTATTTAAAGCTTTGAATGAAAGCAAGTCAATATCGTGCGATAAATAACATATTTTCACTTCTTAAAGAATGTTGAATATCTTAGAAAAAACATTATGCATTAATTTTAAAAAGGCAGTTTTATCTTCTGCGAATTTATCACTGCGAGTTTGACATGGTTGAATCTTGACTTTGACATATGACATAGTGAGTTTTCCAATGCCAGGAACTATTATACCAAACGGCCTAAAAAATTTTTGTTGCCTTTGTAGGCAGACGAGCGTACGGCCCACCTAATGGTAAGTGGTTACTGTCGCCCATGGACTTCAGCAATGCCAGGAGCAGAGCCAAGCCGCTGCCTACCGCTAAGCAAATAGCTCGAGCTCCGAGCGACCGCAGTTGCTATAAAGAAAATAAGGCATACTTTTTTAAAGGGATTTTACGACCTGGTAACTGATATCTTTAAGTCATGTCTTATTTTAATTTATATTCATATTTTTATGAAAAATGATATTATGGAGTGAAATGAAATGAAGATAATTAATTTAAAACATTAATCAACTGGGATGAAATTAAATGAAATGAAATGGGATGAAATATAATCTCAGTAAAATGGTGGTCGTTTACTAAGATTTTTTCAGTGGACTTTTTGGAGGAGCCCGAGAAGTTACGTCCAGCGATATTGTTTCATTTTCCCACATTTGTGCACTTTCACAGATATTAAACAGTTAATAAACCACCATTATTACACATTTAAGCCCGAAGAAACACTAAATAGACAAAATAAAACAAATCACACAACTTCACTCCTCGCGTTCCCGCCAAAAAGTCAAATATGGCATACAGTCATTTAATAGCATAGATAATACTCTATTAAATAAACGTATGAAATATGAATCCTACATATATGTACTATACATATGATTTATGTATTCTATTCGTCTAGTATAGACATATATTTTGTAATATTTAGTATTTGTCGTGTTGGATTTTAATCTAAATATTAATTAAATTAATGTAATTGTACAACCTAAGTTCATTTAGTGTTAACAATCATATTTAAGTAACAAACATGGACCTTCACCGACCGGTGGATCCTAACAAGGTAACATATTTAATTTTTGGTTATCAATTCCTTTTTTATTTTCGAATTAAAGCAAAATTTTCTTGTTCAGACATACCAGGAGCTGACGTCTGAGGAGAGATTGAGGTAAGCAAAGTGTTTATAGATTAAGCACTAAGCACCCAATAAAAGGAACTGCTATACTATGCAAATGAATGGAAATAAAATATTTAACTTTAATTATTTCCTTACTTACACCAAGATACATACAAGTGTCAATATATATACAACAATGAATCAAACATCATAGCAATATATATAAATTGAATTATCACACAACTTTAATTAAAAATTCAGTATGTATGTATTACATTTAAAAATAGTATACATTTTTTTTATGGATTATAGCACAGTTAAAATTTATTGTTAGTAATTATCAAATTATAGAATTCATTATTTATGATCTACATCTTTTTTATATATATTTACTTATTTCCACAAAAGCATTGGACAGTAAAACTGTTGTAGATGTTCATGAATTTTGCTTGTATCTTCCATTGCTGACTTTAAAAACAATTTTCAATAAAAGGGCTTAAACTTAACATTTGATCCACAGATATGATCACCAGAAATTGCATGAACTCCACAAAGGCCATGAATCAATGCATACAACTATGGTCTTAATATTAATAGGAGCACTTGTAATTTCACAAGTTGTCATTGTCCAATGGAAGAAACGACATTATAGGTCATATGCTGTGAGTGTTTGTACCAAATCTTTTAAAAAAACTGTATTTATAGTTTATTTTTAGAACAGATAAACCCATTCTTCTCATCACATTAGGATTGTGATTGGTAGAATTCCTGCCCTTCAAGGCTGAGAATCCTCAATAAACACATAGATAATATGCTAGCAAGAAACCTTGCAGGCTCATAACACACCAAATTGGGTTTTTTTTTTTTTTTTTTTTTATTGCCCTTGTAGGCAGACGAGCATACGGTCCACCTGATGGTGAGTGGTTACCGTCGCCCATGGACTTCAGCAATGCCAGGGGCAGCGGCTTATGGGATTATGAGTAGTGTTTGGTAGAGGACATATGAGTACTGTAGAGCCATGAATGGAGCATGTGGCGGTAATACAGTGTTACCTGGAATAATCTGGATGTACCTTTCTATCAATGACTAGCTTTTTCCCTACTGATTTGTCAGCATGAACCTCTCTTCATATACTGAGGGTGAAGACTGGTGCACAGCAGTGAAATGAAAGGTACTATATATTTTTCCCAGGGTTCAAACTATTTCCATACTGAATTTCATAAAAATCAATTAAGTTTAGTAGATTTGAGTGTGAAAACTTAACAGACAGAAATGTTTAACTTTCTATTATTAACAATCTAAATCACTATTTAATTACTTATATCTTACAGTATGTTCTAAAAAACTTTCAATTATGATAACTACAAATTTTCATTCTAAAAGTCATTTTAAAAAAACCTGCTCACAACACGAACTGAGTTAAATTTTAACTCACTAAATTTTTTTAATTTTTTTATTGCTTAGATGGGTGGACGAGCTCACAGCCCACCTGGTGTTAAGTGGTTACTGGAGCCCATAGACATCCACAACGTTAATGCGCCACCCACCTTGAGATACAAGTTCTAAGGTCTCAAGTATAGTTACAACGGCTGCCCCACCCTTCAAACCGAAACGCATTACTGCTTCACGGCAGAAATAGGCAGAGTGGTGGTACCCACCCGCGCGGACTCACAAGAGGTCCTACCACCAGTAAAATATACCATTGAAACATTAAAGTTTTGTTAAAACATAATATTTTTAAGGGTAAAAGAAATAATTATAATATGTGAACAAGCAAGTCCTAAAAGATGACAAAAAGTGTATGTTTCATTCAGTCTTCATTTATTCTCCTTTTCCCTGTTACAGTTCTTCACAATGATCGCCATGTGGTCCATCCCAGTCATGATAAGCTTTAAAAACGGTTGGTGGAGATTTGTATCAATTTGGAGTGTATTCACACTCCTTACAGCTCTAGTCATTAGAAAAAGTTCAATTAAGCCAATGTCTGCTACTACGCCTAGGTGAGTTTTGTTTGGTGGGTACCCAAAGTAGTAGCTTGAGTGCCTCAGAAGTTTCTAAGTATATTTGCTCTTCAATAAAAATGTAATTTTCTGTTTCATATTTGTTATAATACCAGCTATTACCTGCAGCTTCTCCCACTTGGTCAAGGAAAAGTGTCTGTGATTTCTCATGAGAATGAGAGGTTTTATCCAGATAAAAAGTAGTCCATATCCTCACTTCCCTGATCTAAAACAATCACTCTAAAAAGATAACACCAACTAATTGGTTTGTTTCAAAGCATACAGACAAACTTCTGAATTTATAATATCACAGGTAGGTACCACCGCCCTGCCTATTTCTGCTGCAAAGCAGTAATGCGTTTCGGTTTGAAGGGTGGGGCAGCCGTTGTAACTATACTAGACTTTAGAACTCATATCTCGAGGTGCGGGGTGGCATTTAACTTATAGATGCCTATGGGCTCAGGTAACCACTTAACACCATGCGGGCTGTGAGCTTGTCCACCCATTTATGCAATAAAAAACGCTACGGCAATCGTTACCATTTTTTTAAATTACTTTTTAAGAATTGTGATCAAGGCATCTGGGGTATTGTGAAAAATATTCATAAGGGTATGCACAATGTCCGTTGACATGTCAATCAATAATAGATTTTGTGGGACTCTGTTTCTAAGTCACTTGGTTGTGGTCCATTAGATGTTTAGCAAGGTTATTTGGAGGATTCCAATCACTCATAGTAGATTATCATTATATAAATGAATCTTTAACCGTATCCCTCTAATTATCTTATAATGGCTCTTCTGAATATTTGGTGAAGGCTTGTCATAGTCATTTTGAAAATCTTAGCCTTTCATTTTTTTACACAGTGATGCACTGACAAACTACAAATTCGCAATACCTTTAAAAATTACCTACGCAAAAATTTCGATAGTGGAAATGATGGTAGGCGTATGTAAGCTTATTAAATCATTAAATGTAGTTGGCACAGTCACATCTAATGAGCAGTTGCATATCTGCCCCATATGTATGCAGAGATGCAATCTCCCTGGGAATAACAGCATACTTCTTTTCAGATTAGTGTACAAATGGTTTTATTTAATATATAAAGTTTGCTGTTTTGTTGGTGTGTTTGGTTACATACTGATGATGCTTACAATGCTCGGCGTCAACTTGATGTTCGGACAGAAGCCCCAAGTCTGGATGGACATAGCTATATTGTTTTTGTTTAACGGCTTGTACTTCGGAGTACTAGGGAGGGATGTTGCTGAATATTGCACTGATCAAATGGCAGCATCCATCGGGGTGAGTGATTGATATTTATGTTATTTTTGATGTTTGATGATTGCAATTGACCTGGTGCTTGAGTGAAGGTCTCTGCTGTGTACGAATGATCAGTATTCTACCCATAACATTAAAATTGAGTTTTTGTGCTTGGTCAAGGGCAGTTTTATATATCTTGTGATATCAATAAACTCCAAGTGGTAATTTCAATATCTATAAAACAACATGAGGACTGTGACCCCATGATTCCAAATACTGTAATATTTAAAATACACACATACACATTGCTTCACAGCACACGAAGGGTTACCAGTTAAATAATTTATGGTTCAACAAGATAAAGCTTAAAAAGCTTTAGTGCAGATAACTGATGATATTAATTTGTTACTGAATGTCGACTGTTGAAAACTGAACTGTCGAATTGAAAGATCTGCTTATCATCTTTTGTAACTATAATCGTCCTTTAGCCTGTCAAGACTTGGCCACAAGCTCATTTGCGATAAGGAAAAAATAATATTATACATTAAGTCTATTCTTAAAAAAAATACGGAATCTTGAAACTTTGATCATCATCATCATTATCCTGCCCTTCTCCCAGTCACATGGGGTCGGCAACATGTTTTCTCCTTCCATACTCTTCTATCATATACAATTTCTTCGCTCACTCCCCTCTTACCAATATCGGCTTTCACGCAATCCATCCATATCTTCTTAGGTCTACCTCTTCCTCTGTATCCTTCCACATTTATAGTTAACATTCTCTTACCATCCTCATTCATTTCGTCTCATCACACGTCGATACCATCCCAAACGCGCACTTCTCAGCTTCTCTCTCAGCTCTTCTCTTAGCTCTCTCTTGAAACTTTGATATGTGTATTAAATGAATAATAATATTTTAGTACTACACGAAGGAGGGCATACCGACTCGGCAGCTGGAGAGCGACGTGTGCGCCGTGTGCGGGGCCGCGCTGCTGGTGCCCCTGCACGAGGAGGGCGTGCTGGGTACACACACTCTTTATGTGACACACTAACTCCGTCTAGGAGTCTATTGCTGACATAATTCGAGAACGTTAAGTCTATAAAAAAAAGGATGGTGTGGTTTTATGAAACCACGGTAAAAGTGAAACTTTTTTTTCACATTATAGACATTTAACTCTGACAAACAACATTTACATTAAACACTGACAAAGGACAAACAAAATAGCGAGGAGCACTGGCACAAATGAGTAATAGTCTATACACTACGCGGTCAGCTGCTGCGAACTATAGGCGCCGCCATACTGGCTTGGGTTGCTCTGACGAGCGCCTTTCACTTTATCCCTACTCCGCGGCCGACCGTCACGCGACATGCAACACACAGAAAAATTTATTGCGTGAACGGTAGCTTTCAAACTATCAACATAGTTAAAGGTTAGTCATGAAGCCGGTCGGACACCTCGCTTTTTCGAGATCATCTCACGGTTCGTCTAATATATTTTATATAGGTATATTCTTGGTAATAAATGCTCAAAATGCCACCACCCACCATCAGGACGCGGCGGCTGTATTGGCGAAATCAAGCACATTAAACGTTTCCGTCTTGTCTGAACTCGCAGAAAACACATACAAGCTGCCGTGCGGACATGTCTTCCACGAGTTCTGCATCCGGGGCTGGTGCATAGTCGGCAAGAAGCAGACGTGTCCGTATTGCAAAGAGAAGGTGGACCTCAAGCTGATGTTCACGAACCCGTATCCTTTGCACAAATATCAGACGCTCAGCGACGTCTATTTGTTGTAATGGAAACCAACGTTATGACTTCACCGGACCCAGTGGCGGGGCGTCGTGAGGCCGGTAACCACTTGTATCAGTGATCAGTGATCGCCGCCGCCTGACAGCCAAATCGGACTCTAAGCACTTTTTTCAAACCTAGTTTGAAGAAGAACGTGTTCAAAGCTCGGGACAGTGTGGACCCTCCAGGTACCCTCGCTCAACGGCGTCATCGCTGGCAATGTGACGTAATAATAATTCGAAGACTGATGCCAACTCACAATATCCTTAACGAAGTCCAGTTGGGACCGTCCGCACATCATGTACGGCCAGCTGCTGGACTGGATCCGCTGGCTGGTGGCGTGGCAGCCGCTCGTCATGTTCCTCGTGCAGGGAGTCAACTGGTTGTTTGGACTTGAATGAAATCGATGAGAAATGTTTAATACTGACCGATACGATTTGTCGTTGAATTAAAAAAAAAATTCTTTATACAGGGTGTGCAAAACTAAAACAAAAATAGATGGCAATGCTGGAGAGTTCTGACGTAATTACACAAAAAAAAAAAACATAACAGCAGATTACAATTTAGTAGCGTGTTATTTCATAATAAACAAATAAATGAAGTGGCACCCAAGATTTGACAGGAGCATCCGCGAGCCGCCTGCTCAAAGCGCGTGCGGACAATGTAAATTCATGAAATGGGAATTTTTTTAAAGAATATCAAGTTTTTATGAATGAAATGAAATGAAATGCGTTTATTTCAGGCAACTTAATCCCATAAATTTTCACATACAATTACATAAAAATACAATAAAATTAAAATTACAATTTATCTGAATGACCCAAAACAAAAACAATCAAAAATGAAACCAAATCAAATGAAACCGAATCAAAAATTATTAAAATTAAGATTGTCAACTACTAATATAAAATTAAAATTAATAAAGGATGCATTTTATGCTTTGCTGAACAAATGTTGTGTACCGCCACGTCAGGGTAGTGGTGGTCTGTCCCTTCGACACTGGGGGCAGACCATAACCTCTTGCATATTGCACATCTGCTAGTCATCATTTAACGACGTCGAAGATTCGATTGTCGTTTGCTAAACAAATACAATTCGTTCTATTAGCTTTTATTTGTTGAAATAGAAATAGTTCGACAATTCATTCGGTAGGAAATGCTTATCGCTTCAAATGTGTAGTCCGCGAATGTTCTTGATTAGTTCGGTGCGACCGCCGCCTCTAGAGTGTGGGTGTGTGTCGACTGCGTGATGTTGGCGCATCAGTTAGCTTAGTGCGAGTTTTGTAACGTTTTCGATAGTGTAAAAGGAACAGCGCCCCTAGCGGCAAACGTAAGCAAACGTTCCAACTCCATGCAAATTTGAGTTAACTTTTACGCTATCGAGAACGTTAAAATACTCGCACTGAGCACAAGACTACGTGGCGAGCCAACTTACTCGAGATCACCTTGTAGACCTCGGGAACTGTAACCGACAAATCGTATCGTGTGTACATCATGCGGACTGGTTTATTGTTAAGTTAAGAAATCGTTTTTTTTTAAATGATGTTTCAATTTCAGTACAATTAATTATTCGACGGGAGAAATCAGTATTTTTTGCAATAAAATCTTTATTACTTATTTATAATATAATTTGATATAATTTAAACATTTATAGCTCGTAGGCTAAATTCAAATTCTGTTGTACTCTATGGGCTGTGACGTCACTAGACTGACAGCGGTGCGGCCGTCACTGTCAGTCGACGCACTGCAATACAGGCTTCCGTTCCGTTAGCCCGCCTCAACCCTGTCTACTGGCGTTTAGAAACTTACGCTTATGTCTGGTATTTGCGTAGACAGACCAGCCTAGACCTACCTGACGTTAAGCACTTACCGGTACCAGTAGACATCCAGCCATCGATAGCCGGACCCGTCAGCATAACAACCCTCTCGCCCAGCGCAAAGGTCCACCGCTACCTCTCAAAGCACAGCCTGTTATCCGCAAGTGACCACTTAGCGGGAGGGCGAGACCGGTTCGCGACTTAACCCATTCCTTTGTAAAACAAGTAGTTCATTCTGTTCATTCTGTATGAACATTAAAACATTAGTTAAGAAATATTATTTTTATATAAAATCGTGTTGTCGGTTTGATACTGTTGATATTACATACGAATAAATCAAATCTGAACATTTGTTTGGTTTTATTGGGCAACACGAGGTCTGGGCGTTTCGATGGAGAGGGTTTAACGGCAGTACGTCAGCCGCTATTAGGATTTTCCGAAACAAAGCCGCCGCCCTCCTCCATCAGCTACTGCCGTTAAACTATAGAACTCAACCAGATAGGGTTTTCACTAATATAAAAAAAATTGGAAGGGAAAGGTTTGAGAAGTCGCACGCCGGAGGTTACCTAAAATATAGTAAATGACTATCAGATTGTGATCTCTTTGGCAATTCTTTAAATTGTTTTCAATAACACAATGAATAGTGTGAATTAAATCGTTCCAATTTCTAACACACGTCTAATTTCATTTATTCTATCAAAAACAAACTGTCATCAACATGCCAAGAATAATGTAGCATTCAAAACAGGAAAAAATATCTTATAAATTTATAGTGTTTTATAGAAAAAATGTTTGTTAACTCTTTAAAATTATGTTCGCCATTGAAAATCGTGAACGGCGGATTTTTAGCTGCTGGAAATAACGCAGCCGTGGGGCATGGAGCTCTACGTGTTGGTAAGTGTGCTCAATGAAAACCGGCCGTCGCCAGTTACCTATCTGAGATAATGACCAGACCAGATGACTGAGCAACGTAAAGCCGCCTTCACCCGAAACATGTCTTTCGGATCCTGCAGCTCCACCGTCGGTGCTTTTAGGCTCCTCAAGCACCGGTCAACGTTTTCGTTGACTTCGACGAGCGAACTAAGACATAGAAACAGCCCACTTCGTTTCTCGCCGGATCTTCTCAGTTGCTCGGCTTTCCGATCCGGTGGTAGATTCTACGAGTCACTGCTTTTGCTAAGGCTGGTCTTAGCAAATTCTGTCAGATAGAGCCCGTTAGCTCCCCTACCCGTTCGCGTGAAGTTGAATAGCCCCTTAGGCTACCAGCGAATAGGGGAAAAAACCTGATCACTGACTGATCATTCTCTTGGCTTTGTCAATTGTTAGCAGAACCCTTACCAGCTCCTTCAAACAGTTATATAAATCCAGTTACATAAAAAGCCGCAATGCAAAACCAAATGATTTTAAATTTGTGTATATATATATATAACGAAGTCTCTTAATCAAATTCATCAAAACCATAATTGACACCTGACATCTTTACTAAAGCACAGCACACTTATTACTCATATTTATTGTGTTGTAGGTCAGAACAACTATTCTAAAGTTAAAGGCTCCTGCTGCAAAGAAGTTGCGCAAACTGAAGGCAAAAAAGTGGAGGTCTGGCCGAGACCTGACCCTCCTCCACCGGCCTGGCGTGCGGAATGTCCCTGCGAACCCCAACCACCCAACTACGACCCCTACAAAATAAAGGTTCCGGATATAGTCGTACCTCCAATGCCTCCGAGCAACGCTAAGGTAAGAACCAACGTGTTTGAGCACAAGCGAGTATGGTTATGTAGAAAGGGAACAAAGTCGGGGATATTTGACTGTCAGGTCTGGCTACGGGTCTGGTTAATGTGTCACCGGAACGCCAGCATCGGCAGGGACACAACTCACCGACATAAACTCTTCATGCTACACTAAACATTATTCTGTTAAAATTCGACTGTTTTATTGTAATAGCTTGATTGCTATTATTAATTAAAGTGCGTTTGACGAAACTGGTTTTCTTTTAAATCAATCGCGAAACCGAATGAAATCCAGCTTGTGCTTTCTTCGTCAGTTCGCCGGGCTCGTCCTAGTTACGGAGTCTTCAGATCAAAATCAAAGCAATGAAGAACAGGACAGTTCTATTCAAGAGAAGCACTCATTGACTGAGGAGTCAAAGGATGAAGGTTTAATGGGCGTGTTGAAGGGATTCTTTGACAAAATCCGAGGGAAAGGGAAGGGGGCTGATGATACGACCAACTTTAACCAAGCACCGGTCTGGAGGTAGCGGTAAGGAGACAGAGGGCCACACGCAGATTTATAAATTTATAACTGATTTTCGTCCAACGCACTGGCTCGCTTTACCTACCCTCTGTGTGTTCTCACAACTATCCTATTCAACAGGAAATATCAAATGAAGACGGCAGAGAATTGTTTACCAATCCCGAGATCAATCATAACCACACCGCGACTCCAAACATACAAGACCTGTTCCGAAACTCTGCCATAGTTCACCCTGACTACTGGAGAGGAAAGCCCGAGAGAATGTTGCCAAACATCGAACCAAGTAAAGAAGCTTTGCCAAAACTTGGGTACCACGGGAGAATTAAGTACAAGTTTGCCTTCCACGAGCCCTGGAAGCCATTGGATAGGATGTTGCTGTTGGAGAAAGCTGAAAAACTTGAGGCGGAATCTAGTAGTGGTGCGATCTTAAATAAACCGGATTTAATGTCGTGATTTAGGATTTTCTTTACAAATACGATGAATCGATTCATTTTTAATAAAATCTTTTCATAATGAAGCTGAGATTCTTGTTTTGTACTTAACACCCTTAAAGTAATTGTCGCTCAATTGTGGCAGATTGCTATTTCCTACTTTAAGTATAGTGTACCTACAGCCATTAGGAAGCCTGCGCAGCTAGCTAGACTAAACAGAACTGGCTCTTTCTGACGCTCGGTAATAATGCGTTAAGCGACGTATCAATATGTAGTTTTTAGAAAATTTAGTAAATACGGTGTCTGAAGGTTTCAATAGCTGCTTGACGTTGAGAGCGCCAGGAAATTCGTCTGTAGACCTTGCCTCTTAAATTTAAATGTTGAAGAAAAAATGTTATCAGTTAGCAACTGCTTAAATCAAATCAAATCAAATCAAAAAATTTTTATTCAACATAAATGAAAGTACATACTTGTTGAACGTCAAAAGAACTACCGCCAATTTTACTTATGCGTTTACTTATGCGTTTTATAATGTTTGCTTAATTTATGAGACTTTACGAACTTTTGTATGTTTTAAAAATTGATATTCGCTCGTAACCTATTTCTGGCGTGAAGCAGTAATGCGTTTCGGTTTGAAGGGTGGGGCAGCCGTTGTAACTATCTGAGACCTTAGAACTTATATCTCAAGGTGGGAGGCGCATTTACGTTGTGGATGTCTATGGGCTCCAGTAACCACTTAACACCAGGTGGGCTGTGAGCTCGTCCACCCATCTAAGCAATAAAAAAAAAACTTCCATGGATGATCAAATTGAGTTTATAATTTTAACGAAACTTTGATCGAAGCTACTAAGTTGTTTAAACTGTGAGAGTTCATGTACACGTTATAGGCCATTCCCGAGGTTGCCCGATTTCAGTAACTGACATCAATTTGTCACGCGGACTGCCTCCAACTTGAAGCTCGCAAGTCCCGTGAATATTGTGGTCTACACTATGCTCTATACTTTCTGCCACTACTCCGGGTTCCGTTTTGCTTGCACTATTTCTGAGCGTTTGTAGACAAATTACACGTGCTTAATTGGTTGATATATAAACTGTATGGTATTGCATTACGTCGTGCAGCCGATGTTGGATTGCAGCCTCACCCGGGGCCCGTGCTCGGCAAAGCCGGCTCCCTCTCCTCCCGAGTGCCCACCGCCGCCACCTAAACCCTTCCCCTGGATATACGTGTGGACGGTCGCCGGCTTCTTCGGTACCATGGGTGTTGTAAGTTGACACCTACGTATATTTTATCTAGTAACACCTTGTGATCTTTAAATATTAATATATTTTTTATTATTTACTCGAGCTTACTTTAGCAAAAATATGTATTGAAGGTAAAAATAAACCTCTTATAAATAATACGAGAGTTTCCCAAACTTCAATCTATCTCTCAATATTTTTTACGTTTATTTTTTTTATACTCATTTGACGTTGCGTTTAAAAAAGCTTTTAATCAGTGTGCTTAGTGCGAGTTTTTTAACGTTCTCGTTAGCGTAAAAGTTAGCTCATATTTGTATGGAGTGGGATCGTTTGCGTACGTTTGCCGCCAGGGGCGCTGTTCCAATTGCATACAAAATTGGCTTAACTTTTTTAACTTTTACGCTATCGAGAACGTTAAGAAACTCGCACTAAGCGCACAGAAGATACTTACATGTAACCGTTGAGATAAATTGCATTAGCATCATCGTGGCATCAGAGCATCTCACACTAGACTGTTTTAATGTTCCTTCATTCTGAAGGGTACGATACCTATATCTCCTGCCTCCTATACCTCTTGAGACGGCAGCAATTCAGTTTATGATGTCTATAAGCTCGTAACCGTTTACCGCTAGATGCATTGTGAAATGCTCNAGATACTTACATGTAACCGTTGAGATAAATTGCATTAGCATCATCGTGGCATCAGAGCATCTCACACTAGACTGTTTTAATGTTCCTTCATTCTGAAGGGTACGATACCTATATCTCCTGCCTCCTATACCTCTTGAGACGGCAGCAATTCAGTTTATGATGTCTATAAGCTCGTAACCGTTTACCGCTAGATGCATTGTGAAATGCTCTGCCTATCAAAAGAAATAATAAGCACCGGATAAGTTCGAGAGTGGTCGGTGGAGACTAGACTGTCAAGTCAGTGTTGGAAGTGCTCTGTATTACTTTTCAGATTTACAAACTGTACTTGTGGAAAGAACAACAAGAAAGATTAGGAGAAAACAAACCTATATGTAAGATTCCACTAATGTTGTATCTCTATTCTTCCGAATGTACTTCTTTCTTTCAATTTAATTGAAAAATGAGTGTGCAATGTGCTGATACAATGACACAGGCTTATTGCGGCAAGCGCAAACATAAAACAGCCCATAAATACTTGATAACGGATATGAGAACGACAAAGCATGATATTACATTATACATATTATAAGCAACGGTAGCCACTTAACAGTAGAGTGAGGCCGAAATCTGCAAGTTAAATGCAACATCATTAATAATCTCATTTATTGATTAGCAATCATTGGCTTGACTTCTATTTTGGCCTCGAATGACGTACATTTCTGCTATTCCTAAACGAGTATTAAGTACTTATACGTGCGCAATGAAAAGGTACTTAAAAATTGATACATAACGCTTAGGGCGGCCGCGGCCGAGGCTCAAAAGTCCATACCACGACCGGGACCTGCCCGCCTGTGTGCAGTACCTGATCGTGGGCGCCGGGGCGGCCGGCTGGGCGGCTTACAAGGCCATTATGGAGCACGATAAGAAAGCAAAGGTTAAAGAGTCGAATTTGATCAGTTTTTTTTTTATTGCTTAGATGGGGGCTTGAGCTCACAGCCCACCTGGTGTTAAGTGGTTAATGGAGCCCATAGACATCTACGACGTAAATGCGCCACCCACCTTGAGATATAAGTTCTAAGGTCTCAGTATAGTTACAACGGCTGCCGCACCCTTCAAACCGAAACGCGTTATTGCTTCACGGCAGAAATAAGAGGGGTGGTGGTACCTACCCGCGCGGACTCACAAGAGGTCCTACCACCAGTCAAAAGTTTTAATATAAACCACAGCACGAGAGTGTTAATCCACACTCCGGAGATAAGAGGAAACGTTATATAGGAATAAGAATAATTAAACAAACAAATCGATTTTATAATCGTGCATCCCATTTGTACATGTGCATTTCGTAATCTTTCTTTGTGAAATCTTCAATAAGGCGACACTGTGGCCACACTACCTGTTTCACTTGTCCTTGTGTGCCAAACAGCCTTGTATAGTCAAATGATTGAAGTTCTCCGGTCCAGGTGTTCTTCATAAGCAAGGAAGACTGTCTACCATACATTAGACTTCCAATGTCGAAGCAAATGTGGTGGAACCCCGATCCACCTGACATCAAATCCCTCAACTATTTAGAAGACGGAAAGAGACGCACGTATGTTATGTGAAATAGTTCTCAACGAATCATTATCCAGGACGGTAGATTAACTATGAGGCTTATAATAAAATATAAAACTCTAAAATCGCTCACAGCATGTACCTAGCGGATTGTTCGAAGTTCATGGATCCGGTGAAGTTTTACCGGACTAAAACCGGACCGGCCGTGTCCGTGGCGACCGGATGGTGCGTGATGAGGGTGGACGCAGACGAGCACGTTGTCTACGTGAAGACAATGTGCGGCGAGCAGCCTATATACTACGAGAGGTGCTTACTGGCTCCTGGTTCGTATAGTCTTATAACTTACAACGGACAGCGTCTTTAAGAATAGCTATTATTCCTACTGGCAATGAAACTTCAGTATCACTTAACCCACAGACACAGCCCACTGAGTTTCTCGCCGGATCTTCTCAGTGGGTCGCGTTTTCGATCCGATAGTAGATTTTGCGAAGCACTGCTCTTGCTAGGGTCACTCCAGTTTGAGCCCCGTGAGCTCACCTACTAGTGAAGGTTACGCTGAAAAAGCCTCTCAAGGCTATCAGCTTAGGTAGGAGAAAAAAGTATCATTGTAATCTCCGAAATGCCTCATACTGATTTTACTGCTCACATAAACTGGTGGCAGGGTGTAATGTGTGCCAACTGAGATAAGTACACCTACACCGCCTATTTTTGCAAGGCAATCATATATCATTAATCAATATGGTATGAACCATGATCTACTTTGACCACGAAGCTTCAATTTTCCTGTCAGTTCAAAATGATCAGTTGATGTATCTAAAAATTCGAGGTTCCAAACCGAAGAGTTTGAGCGTGTTCAAGTCGGCGCCCAAAGCGGTCCGGCAGAAGGTGTGCGCGCTGCGGACCGTGCGCGACCTGGAGCTGGCGCAGCGCGGGGTGCGGCGCGCGCGACACGTGGTCGTGCTGGGCGGCGGCTGTCTGGGCACCGAGCTGGCCTGGCATCTGGGGAGGATGAGTGAGTGCCCTCCTTGGCAACGCCATCAATATTACTTGTTCTTTTGGTACGTGGCCTAAAGGATAAAACCTCCGGTGCATTCGCGTTGAGCGATGAATGTTCGAATCTCAGGCGGGTACCAATTTTTCTAATGGAATACGTACTCAACAAATTTTAATATTCACGATTGACTTCCACGGTGAAGGAATAACATCGTGTAATAAAAAAGAAACCCGCAAAATTATAATTTGCGTAATTACTGGTGGTAGGACTTCTTGTGAGTAGATGTTTATGGGCTCCAGTAACCACATTACACCAGGTGGGCTGTGAGTTAGTCCACACAACTAAGCAATAAAAAAAAAGCTCCTCGTATTAATTTATTACATCCAATATCTAATATTAGAGTCGAGGTTGGTGCGACCACGCCTGGATACGCTCTAGGAACTGCAAAACCCTTTGTTTCATTGGCGAGGTTGGAGCGATAGAATAATTGAGTTCTCCACGCGCCCTGCAGATCAGCTCATCGAACGTAAGCCCGATGAGGAGCCGCTGCAGATAGTCCACGTCTTCAAAGACAAAGGCATCATGGCTGGAGTCATACCAGACTATCTCGGCGAGTGGGCCACTGAGAAGATCAAATGCGAAGGCGTCACCGTTATGCCTAAAAGTAAGTTTTATTTTCTCGTAGCTAATCAAGCCTGCTTGGAGGAGTTCTCCCTCGCCCATGGACATCAGCAGAGCCAGGAGCGTTGCCGAGCGACACATCTATATATAAACGTATCTGCAGTAAATAAACTAGTTTATATTGATTATCAGTGCGTAAGGCACTTTAATTGAACGTAGACTAGGTATGCAGTGTTAAAATTAGTTGCTATAATAAGTTGTAGCATCGGTTTGCTATGAATGAAATTGAATCCCGTTTATATAGTTTTTAATAATTCTTCGTGAAAGTCCTGACCAGAATAGCTTTTCAGAAGCTTTTCGTAACGACATTGGCGAAAGATCCTTTCTGGTTAGAACACAATCTAATATATAAAATTCTCGTGTCACGGTGTGCGTGATTGAACTGCTTCGAAACGGCTCGACCTATTTTCGTGAATCTTAGCGTGCATATCGGCCAGGGTGGAGAATCGGACAACATCTATTTTTCATCCCCCTAAACGTTAAGGGTGGTTAACCCCTAAATTTTATTTTTTATTTTTTAGACAACATTTTTTGTTTTTATTGTTTTATGATACAGCATACAAAAATACATACAAACCAAAATTTTCACCCCTCTACGATCAACCCTTATTTTTTATTTGTTAATTAAAAACTTAAATTTTTTTGGCAAGAACTTTGTTTTTATTTTGTCATGACTTAGAATAAAAAATTTCATATTACTCTGAATTTTTCACTCCTCCACGATCAACTCCTATTTTTTATTTGCTAATTATAAACTTTAGTTTTTGTTTTGTTAGTAAAAGTTTTTTGCCATGAATTTTTATTTTGTCATGACTTAAAATAAAAAAAATCATATTACTCTCAATTTTCACTTTTATACGATCAACCCCTATTTTTTCCATCCCGATTTTTATTTTTTTATTCTATGCACAGATCCGCAATAAGGTTGCGAGATGGCAGTCAAATATTATAATTGTAGTACGATAAATTCTTATTCAGAGTTTATAATTTCAAGTTCCTTAAATTATGTTTTTTTCTTAAATTCAATTTGATCTCCCGCCCTCGCCGGTCGACTACTGATCAACTATCAATCGATCAGTTATCCCCGCCAGGTGTCACCACTCATCCAGCAAAGATCACGTAGTAGGGATGAGGACGAAGCCGGTCTCCTGTCTTACTCACTATACATTTTTCAGCCATGTTTTTTGGTTTTATTTGTGTATCAATAGTATGTTCAGTAGGTCTGAGAATCGGCTACTATATATTTTTCATACCCCTAAGCGATAAAGGCTGTCCACCCCAAACATTTTTTTTTTTTTTTTTTTGGATAATTTTATTTTTCGTTATAATAAGGTATTGTGTGGTTGAATGAGGTATTTTTTCTACACTAGAATTTCCCTAGAAATCTTATTTAAGGGAACACAATGTTTGCCGGGTCAGCTAGTAATAATATATAAATAATGCACTCGGCCACTTTCGATTTTACTACCCTACTTTACAAGCACGCACGCGATTCCGATCCGATAGTAGATTCATTCGCGAAGCAGCTACTCTTGAGTTGTTAGGTCTCCTTTGGAGGCGCTCGGGCAGTTGTTAACAAATCCCACCCCTCCTAGCTGAGCCCTTGCTCGGCCACTTGCCCTGGTAAAACCGGAAAGGCCTCCGCCACCTGTAAACTCTCAAACATAAAAAAACCAACACCCAGTGTAATAAAGTAAAATGTCTAACTTCGGGTCAGCCTTGAGGTTTCATCTATACTAATATTATAAAGCTGAAGAGTTTGTTTGTTTGAACGTACTAATCTCAGGAACTACTGGTCCGATTTGAATTGAATTCTTTAAAAAATATTTCAGTGTTAGATAGCCCATTTATCGAGGAAGGCTATAGGCTATATAACATCACGCTAAGACCAATGCAGGCGGAGCACTAATAAAGAATGTTTCAAAATCGATGTTTTAATCTCTTTTGAGAGCTTCCACTGCGTGCGCTGCGGAAACAATAAAAGTTTCGCTAAAATAATGTGTGGCAGAATTGTTCTCCTATAAAAGATCTAAAAAAAAGTCCGCCACTGCATATATCTATATATTAAGGTTGGCTCACTATAACGTTTTTTCTGTTAAACAAATTTGTTCTAAAATAAAGCATTATTTGTGAACTATTCGACGCGGAAGAAGTCGCGGGCAAAAGCTAGTGTTTGTATAAAATCAAAGTATCAGTACGCGCCACTGTGCGGCGGCGCGTGACGTCACGTTCCGTTGCAGCGCAAGTGTACGACGCGTTCGAGACGCCCGACGGGAGGGTCCAGTTGACGCTGTCTAACGGAACTTCCCTGGTCACGGACTACGTGAGTATATACCCTGTACCTACTTGATTACACTCGTTAGTGAAGTCGAATTGTGTAGTCAGCTGTCTCTACAACCTAAGCGTTTGTCGAAATGCAACATGAGAGCCAAGATATCTTTAGGTTCGTCTCAGCTGTAGGAGTGACATAGAGTATACTATTATAATATTACTGTGGTGCTCAGGACAAGAAAAGAAAAAAAAAACATTAATTTTATCATTTAATTAAGTTGTCATAAAGTATTAATTTTTGATTTATTGCTTAGATGGGTGGAAGAGCTCACAGCCCACCTAGTGTTAAGTGGTTACTAGAGCAAATAGACATCTACGACATAAATGCGCCACCCATCTTGAGATATAAGTTTTAAGGTCTCAAGTCGTCGTGACATAAAGGATAAAACGTCCGGTGCGTTCGTGTTGAGCGATGCACCGGTGTACGAATCCCGCAGGCGGGCACCAATTTTTGTAATGAAATATGTACTTAACAAATGTTCACGATTGACTTCCACGGTGAAGGAATAACATCGTGTAATAAAAATCAAACTCGCATAATTATAATTTGCGTAATCACTGGTGGTAGGACCTCTTGTGAGTCCGCGCGGGTGGGTACCACCGCCCTGCTTATTTCTGCCGTGAAGCAGTAATGCGTTTCGGTTTGAAGGGTGGGGCAGCCGTTGTAACTATACTTTTTTTTTATTGCTTAGATGGGTGGACGTGCTCACAGCCCACCTGGTGTTAAGTGGTTACTCGAGCCCATAGACATCTACAACGTAAATGCGCCACCCACCTTGAGATATAAGTTCTAAGGTCTCAAGAACTTACATCCTAAATTTCGATGCAATTATGAATTAAAATATACAGTAGAATATCGTTTTAATATGTAATTTAGTAAATTAATGATAAACAAAATAGATTAAAGTAATAATTTATTATGAAGAGAATTAACGAAGAGAATTTCTTCAACACGGGTTGAAGAAGAAGGGGCAGAATAAATTGTTTGTTTTATTGTCAAATAACTAAAGCGAATAAATAAAATCTAACTTTTGTTAATTAATAATCAAGTTATATTTTATTGAAGAAAATTAGACGAATATTTGCGAACTTGTTTTTCTCAATTAATCAAACAATTTTCATTTTGCGCAAGTGTGACGTCGTGTAAGTTACCGCGGGTAAATACCACACGAGTTTACGCCATACCATGTTATGGATTTGAATACAATGCCATTGATATGTCGGCTCCATGTTTTGATCTGGTTGATTATGTTAGCGTCGTGCGTGATGCTCATAGACCCATAGTCCATAAACATGGCTTCTAGAAAATGACCACCCCGGGTCGTCCTGACTTAAGACGTGAACTGTTTTTGTCTGCCTCACCCTTCATATCGGAACACACGACGGCGGACATTAGAAATATGGCAGTACCTACTCGCGCAGGCCCACAGTACAGAATTTATTGAATATGATGTGATACGTGACCACACGGTAGAAACGTACCCAGAGAAGTAGGTACCTTCCAGATGATCTGTACGTACTACAGACAGTGCACTCATTTTAATGAAACGATATCGGCTCAGGTGCTAGTGGCGGTGGGAGCCGAACCGCGAATGGAACTGGCCGAACCCTCGTTTCTGGAGCAGGACCCGGTCAACGGCGGATTCCTGGTCAACACAGAACTGGAAGCTAGAACACATCTATACGTTGTAAGTGTTTAATTGCTGTTTTAGTATTGGACTCCATCAAGTTTCCTGTCGTGAAAAGTAAAGCCGTTGTGAATTCTTTCATTTAGTAGTAATCTAGTGCATCACAAGATAACGGTCTAGTATCTGCCAAAACACACGTATGTGGTTCCAAACAGCAAGAAGTAGCCGTAGTAGTAGTGGTAGTAGTATAAAATATCTTCAGTAAATTCTAGTGGTTACACGAACTTATTTGTTTTACTGGTGCTAGGACCTCTTGTGAGTTCGCACGGGTAGATACCACCAGCCTGCCTATTTCTGCCGTGAAGCAGTAATGCGTTTCGGTTTGAAGGATGGGGCAGCCGTTGTAATTATACTTGAGACCTTAGAACTTATATCTCAAGGTGGGTGGCGCATTTGCGTGATGTCTATGGGCTCCAGTAAACACTTAACACCAGGTGGGCTGTGAACTCGTCCATCTAAGCAATAAAAAAAAAACGAAGAAGTATTATTGAACATTATTAATTACTACTACACGGCATTCGTTTCACACCTCGTTTAACGTATCACAGCGCTCATATTTATATAATATACTAGCGACCCGCCCTCGCTTCGCTTCGGAAACATTAAAACACACATGAAACCAAAAAAATAAAATAAAATAAAAATTAAAAAAAGTAGCCTATGTTCATCAGGGACAGTGTCGGCTTCTAATGGAAAAAGAATTTTTCAAATCGGTCCAGTAGTTTCGGAGCCTATTCGAAACAAACAAACAAACAAATCTTTCCTCTTTATAATATTAGTATAGATATAAGTCATTAGTAGTAGGGATGAACTCTACTCTGGTGATGGAAGGTCCGGACGTGAAGCTGAGGTAATGACATCATCTCGAGCAATTATTCGCGACAGTACCAGAGCATCTTAGAAGACCCAAATTTAGACAGATTGAAATCCCTTAGGAAATCAAACTCGCAAATGTTATAATTTGCGTTATTACTGGTGGTAGGACCTCTTGTGGGTTCGCACGGGTAGGTACCAACACCTTGCCCATTTTTGCCGTGAAGCAGTAAGGCGTTTCGGTTTGAAGGGTGGGGCAGCCGTTGTAATAATACTGAGACCTTAGAACTTATATCTCTAGGTGGGTGGCTCATTAACTGGCGGAGGAGAGCGCTATATTCCTGTTGAGCGATACGTTTTAGACTCGACTGGTTACAATATTTACATAGAAGTACAACTGTGGTCTCAGGCCGGAGACGCGGCCAGTGTGTACTCGCAGTGGCGCGACGTCCGCTTCCGGGACGAGCACTACGACACGGCCGAGCGGCTCGGTCTCATCGCCGGCGCCAACATGACGGGCCACTGGCTCGCCTGCAACCTCGAGCCGCACTACTGGCTCCGGCTCGGAGACGCGCTGCAGATGGAGGTCGGTCCAGTACACAACTACATGCTCACGGGCATGAGGCGTGTCTACACGCACGGCCGGCCGGTATGGGTAGACACCACCATCCTGTCTCTTCTTGGCACCAAGCAGCCATGCGTTCAGCGTGAGGGTGGGGGAACTGTCATACCACAAAATTTATGTTCTTCATGTCTTAGTTTCGGTACTGACGCTGGGACGTCTAAGAGTTCCGANGTCGGTCCAGTACACAACTACATGCTCACGGGCATGAGGCGTGTCTACACGCACGGCCGGCCGGTATGGGTAGACACCACCATCCTGTCTCTTCTTGGCACCAAGCAGCCATGCGTTCAGCGTGAGGGTGGGGGAACTGTCATACCACAAAATTTATGTTCTTCATGTCTTAGTTTCGGTACTGACGCTGGGACGTCTAAGAGTTCCGATGACCAGGTAGACCTTAAGTCCGGGTAGTCTGCGTAATAAAAGATGCCACCTCATTGCCCATCTGGGCTTATCTAATCTCGTATCAACTTATATTGTGCACCAAACTTGGACGGTTTCTCTATCGTTATCCAGGTGGTGGGTGAAGTGGGGGCTTGTCTCCCGACGATCGCGTTGTTCAAGCAATGCGCTCCTGAAGAGGTCCCCAAAAAGACGGAGACCCCCGCGGGTGATGGCGAAAAACCTTGCTACAAAAAGTAAGCTTAGTTTTAAATTATATACGGTGCTCCTACAGTGTTCTTTAGCGCTGGAATAAAGCGTTAAGTTTTCAAATGGCTTAATTAATTTGGGTTTAGCAGTGAGTGGGATCCCGCGGTAACGCCCTGCGTCAGGATCATTTGGAAGTAGCGGAGCACAACTTTAGTAGAAAAATTTAACGTTTCTGCATTGAGTACTCATCCGTTTCCAGGTCGGAGGAGTACCAGAACCGATACAAGCGAGGCATCGTGTTCTACCTGCGCGACGAGACCGTGGTGGGGCTGGTCTTCTGGAACATGCCGCCCATCGACGACAGGAGGGACGTGGCCACCGAGGTGAGCAGACCACGCCGCGGCCTGTGTGTGTACCCAATAGCCGGCATCGATAAACTTACATTCTATAACATAACTCTTCAAAATTAATTCGGGTACCTGTACGATCATACCAGATATGTCTGCTTTAATGATAATCCTACTCGGAGCCTGTCCTACAAATTATTATTAATGAAGGCATGCTCAAGCTGACTTAGTTCATTCGTCTGTGCAATAAAGAAAAAGGAGAGTCCGTGGGCTCACGTCTGGCTGACGTCTGTCCGTACCGATTGAACGTTTGTTGCAGATCCTTCGCGCTCGACCCTCGTACAAAGATATAAACCTGCTAGCTGAACTCCTGGGCTTCGCAGAGACGCAGTGCGTTTACAAAACGCACGAGCAACTCAAGGAACCTGGTCCTTGCATTCGAAAGTAATTATTGTTATTGGATATCTTTCCTAGTGATAGGGTGTCGGGTGGTGCTCACCCGATATGATACTACTTCCGCATTGCTGAAGTCCATGGGCGACGGTAACCACTCACCATCAGGTGGGCCGTATGCACGTCTGCCTACAAAGGCAATAAAAAAAAATACTAACCAAAGCTACTATCATTTCCCCATTGTCCTCAGTAGGAGTAAGATTTTGATCATATTTTTCCTGGCTGATTTCCTTCTATATTACATTCGTACTAGCCGTAGTCTAAACCTAATTTTTTATCTTTAAAGCAGTCTAATAAATTTGTTTGTGTTGTTCTTAAAATCACAGATTCGCTTATGGAAAAACTGACCAAAGGACAATGCCCATTTTCTATGGGCGTTTGAACCCCTAAAAAAAGGTGTCCTGTCATGATGGGTTTAACTTAATTTGATAGACAAAGAAATATCGTTTCATATTCAGAGAACGATTTTTATATTCTCACCCAGGTTTAAGAGAAATCTGTTTTTTTCTGCAGCTAAAATTAAGTTGTTAATTGTTTTCTTCGAAATCAATAATCGCTCTCATAATTATTTACAGTATTAAATAAGTTAATTGTGGTTAATGTTGCTAGAAATAAGCCCTTACGTACATTTTATTATTATTATATCCTCATAATAATAATAAAATGAAATGAAAATCCGGAAGCCGGCAACGATATTGTTGTTCTTGTTTTCAAATTCACCAATAAGCAGGCAAAGAGCGTAGCCTATACAGCCTAGTCTGTCGAAGTTATATATTTTTTATGTCAATAAAAAGC